ACCTTAGAGACATAGAAGCAGTGCTGATCAACAGTGATGAGGGTGACATGACCCCTGAGTTACTGGACAGAGTTGGTGAGTTTTTCAAGAGATTTGGTTCCCACGCTGACCAGGGTCCTCTTCACTTTGGTGGGGTGTTCTGGTGGAAGGCCTCTGCCCAGGGGTTCAGCAGCAGTGAAGTCACACAGATGAACAGCCTGATATCTGAAGCCTTACATCTCTATGTTGGTGCTGGATACAGTAAATTAACCTCTTTATGTTCACCTAAAGAGAGCAATGTCGCTGGAATCAGAAAACATTTCTTATTACTGAAAAAAATATTTTTTTCAATCACTGCGCCTAAAAGTGAAGTGAGCGTGTCTGCATCACAGCTGAAAGGATCCTTTACTGGGAGCTACAGTGAAGCACAGATGAGCAGAGTGAAGCTTTCTGTCTCTAAAACTGGGGGTCCTGCTGAAACCAACAATCACCTGCAGTGGAAGTTTGCTCTGGTCAGCAGTAACAGGACCTGGCAGGTGATAGACAGAGGAACCAGGCTGATTCCTGTGTGGGACATCATCCTGTCTGCTCACACGCAAGACTTCACAGACCCTTTCAGACTGAGCAGCAGCCTGCTGGAGGCCTACAGAAGGATCACAGGGCAGGACGCAGACCTGATATCAGGAGAGAGGGAGCTCTCGGCACAGAGAGAGGCTGAGGAGCTGATTCAGACAGAATCAGCTGTGTCCAACAGTGAAGAGGTTCTGACTGAACTGCTGCAGTTCAAGAGTAAAGTGAGAGAAACAACAGAGTCTCACAGAATCTGGTTTCAGACCTGTCTCTCTAACAGGGTCCTGCAAGACGTTTTATTGAAAGTTGTCGAAAAGCACAAACATGAGAAAGCCGTAAATCTGAAAACGATGATGCGCTCTGTCATGGAGCCTCACCTGTTCACTGTGAAGAACTTCCCTCACAGAGCTGAGATCGTGGAGTGGGCCTACCACACCGAGGAGGAACGGCACAGAGTTATTTCCATTTCTGAGTTCTCTGAACTGGCAGAAATCCTGAAGAGAACTAAAGACAAACTACAAGATTCTACATCCGCACTCAGTGACTCTCTAAACTGGTGTGAAGCTCAGATTAAAGCCACCTGTACCATATCCTTCTCCCTGAATTCCCTGCGACAGACTTTAACACAGAACAACGAGGAAGAAGCAGAGCTGCTGGTACTTTCTATCATCAGTCCTCTAGGATACAGCTTGAAGAGCAAAACTTTCAGTCATCTTCTGAGCTGGAAAGACATTGACTTTTTAGAGAATGAGCTACAGAAAGCTTATGACAAGTACTGCTCTCTGAAAGAACAAGACCCTACAAGAGCTCAGGCCTACTTAGTGCTGACGGCTCTGACTGTATCCAGAGACGAACAGCCAGTCTCCTCACAGGACAAGGGAAAGCGACTGTAGTTTCTGAAATCACAGCTTAGGGACAAAATGGCTCCTGATGTTTCCTCAGCAATGAGTTCTGCAGATGAACATCAGGACTGGGAGAGACTTCAGCAAGAACTAACGTCTGTACTTGAGAAGGAAAAGACAAGTATCACAGCAGAAGAAATGTGCACAGAGCTGAAGAACCTAACACAACCAGTAGGAATCGTTTTCTCAGGTCACAGCCACAGTGGTTCTCTGACAGAGTCCTCTGTACAGAATGACCGTCACCCAAACACATTGGAAGAACATTTCAGTGAGGCAGTGAAAAATGAAACAGATGCTTTTCTGAACTTGCTACAGAAACTTGGGCTCAGGGATTCATATCATAACTGATGTGCTCGTTATCAACAGTTTGTCATCCAGTGTCACCCAACCTCATATGGAGAAAGAGCTATATCTTCACTATCTATACAAGCTCATGATGTTGGACTACAGTTATAGGACCTTGTTCCTTAAAGATCACAATATTGACTCTGCTGGCAGTTGTCTGATGAGAGAGAAGTCAACTGATGACACAACAGGCAGTGATGACTTTTTCACTCTTGGACTCCAGAGTTCCACTACCTGCAATAGCACTTCTGAAGAGTCTTACAGAATGGACATTTATCAAGAATCACATATTCACCCCCTGGACGTCCACATGGCTGTGTTCCACTGCTCTGGTGACTTCCTGAGAGCGTTCCTCTTCACCAAGCTCTCCACCTGTCAATTTGCCTTACCCCTCCTGGTGCCCAGCCCTGAGACTGGCGCACTGGAGTTCCCTCTGTGGGCTCTGAGGCAGGTCAAGAGGTCCTGGTGCAGTAGGGAGCCCTCAGAGAGAGGCAGCTCTGTGAAACACAACTGCAGGGACATGTTTAACACTCCAGTGCCAACTGTGTCCTTCATCAGGCTGGGATCATCCTCCGTCTCCAAATCCCAGATCCTGAACAGCGTCGTCAGCCCCAAGAGACACAGTGTGTTTTTCCACCGGCACTGCAGTGAAATTTCCTCTCACTGCCTGCTCATGGACGGGGTGGTGGAGATCGCCTGGTACTGTCCAGGAGGCAGGATGGACGACGTGTTCGACAGCTGTGTGGCTTTCCTGAACCTACACGGCGATGCCAGCAAACACCCAGAGCAGCTGCAATTTCTCCAGGAGGTCAGCACTGTCAACGTGCTTCTGATCTCAGAGTCTCCACTGGAGGGAGAGGAGAAGAAGACAGCTGAGGCTCTTGTCAAATCTCCTGTCCCCCTGATCTGTCTGTTTGCTGGACAAAGTAAAGTCCCACAAGGAAACAATCCAACCAAGGTGAGACTGGCAGCCAAGAACAGGGGAGAAGCACTGCTGAATAAAGAAATAATATCAAACATCAAACATTGCGTCTCCACTGTGAACAAGACCTCCAGCCTGCAGACATACTTACAGGCAGCGAGACAACAGCACTTCAGGGTGGATGAAGACAGTGCAATCTGTACAGAAGGGAAGGAAAAGGCCCAGATGTTGTTGGAACTGTTGAAAGAAGGTGAGTTATTGAGCCTAAAGAATCTGTTGCCTCTGCAGGGTGAGCTGTGGCACCAGTGGTGCATGAAGGACAAAGAACAGTATCGTCTTAACAGCAAAGTGAATAAAAGTATTGAACAGCAGCTAAGCGAGATTAGAGCTGAGAAAAGAGCCCTCCGTCGTGAACAGCTGAAGAGAGCTTTCCCTCTCAATAACTTCATGAGATCCTTCCTGGAGTGTTTAACTTCTGCAGATCCACAAGACACCAAGCTGTTTATGCTGCACTGGCTGGGAATGTATCTAGATGAACTGACTGCAGACACGCTGAGTGAACTTCAGGAGAAATACCACTCCACGTGGACAACACTGAGACTGAAAGACAAGAGTAAGGACAAGGAGCAAGAAATGAAACTACAGAAGGATCTGAACATAATATCTGAACAGATTAGTGCTGCTGCTCTCGGACTTCAACACCTCATGAGAGAAACTGCTCAGCTGTATGAGACTTTTCAATCAGAAGGAGATGGTCTAGAAGAGTACAGACAGTTTGTCAGAGTCCTTCCTGCTGTTGGAGCGGATATGCTGATGTCAGGACATCCCCTGGAGCTGATGGACGGAGATACTGCCCATGTGCCTCTGGTGTGGATTGATGCCGTTCTGGACAAACTCACTGAGAGACTTGGAGACAGAAAGGTGTTTGTCCTCTCTGTCCTTGGAGTCCAGAGCTCAGGAAAGTCCACTCTGCTGAACACAATGTTCGGGCTGCAGTTCACAGTGAGCGCAGGCAGGTGCACCAGGGGAGCGTTCATGCAGTTAGTGCGAGTGAGTAAAGATGTCAGAGCTCAGCTGCAGTATGACTTTGTCCTGGTGGTGGACACAGAGGGGCTTCGGTCACCAGAGCTCAGTAATAAAGCCTCACTGAGTCACGACAATGAATTAGCAACTTTTATCATCGGGATTGGTGACATGACTGTGATCAACATCATGGGAGAGAATCCCTCTGAAATGCAGGACATTCTCCAGATCTGTGTCCAGGCGTTCCTGAGAATGAAGTCTGTTCAGATCAAACCGAGCTGTATTTTTGTGCATCAGAATGTTGCAGAAGCTTCAGCAAACAACAAGAATATGGAGGGAAGGATTAAACTCCAGGAGAAACTGGATGAAATGTCCCGCATTGCTGCCAAAGAGGAAGGCTGTGAAGTTACCGGCTTCAGTGACATTATCCAGTTTGATGTGGACTCACAGGTTTTCTACTTCAAAAACCTTCTGGAAGGAGACCCTCCGATGGCTCCTCCCAACCCCTCCTATAGCCAGAACGTCCAGGAGCTGAAGATGAAGCTCCTCAGTGTCGCTCAGTGGCAGCCGGGAGTGAAGTTTCCCTCACTGTCCGAGTTGAAATTACGGATCAAAGATCTCTGGAATGCCCTGCTGGCGGAGAACTTTGTCTTCAGCTTCAGAAACACCCTGGAAATGTTGGTTTACAGTAAACTGGAGGACAAGTACGGAGAGTGGTCATGGAAGATTAGAAAACAAGCCCTGGAGGTACAAAACAGACTGAGCAACCAAATTATCAATAATAAAGTTCAGGCTGTGACATCATCAGATCTGATGAAAGAATTTGATGAGGTCTACAGCACTCTGACAGCTGAAATAGAAAAGTATTTCAAAGAGGAAAAATACCAGGAGATCTTGATTAAGTGGAAGGTGAATGTTGATAAAAGGTTTGAGAGCCTGAGGAATGAGCTCATTGAAGAAACCAGAAAGCAGAGCAATGAACTGATCAAACTGAAGAAATGCCAATCAGAGCTGGACAGGAAGAAATCAGAATATGAAGCAGAACTGATTGAAATGAGCAAAGACCTGGCGTCCAGACTGAAGAAGAAGAAGCCCAGTGATAAGAAAGTGAAGGAGCAGTTTGACAGACTCTGGGAGAGCTGGGTGACCAGAGTGTCCTCAGAGCTGGCCCCTGAGGAACAGCTGGACATCAGAGCCACAGTGCAGAACATCCTGCTGGAGAAATTCAAGAACCAGGGAGATGTCATCAACAAGATTGTGAAAAGAGAGAAGATCTTCCAGTTCAGTAAGAAAAAATACATCAAACAAAGCTGGATAGAAGATGTATGGAACACATTTTTTTCTCAAGACCCACAGTGGGAATCTCATGGGAATGAACTCACTCAGGAAATACAGAGAGCTGTTAATAAATACATTGACAGGAGAGAAGAGGAGAAAGTTGATTTCAATGACAACTTCATCCATGAAATATTGGGAGAGATCAAAAAGAAAATAACTGATTATGTAAATCAGTTCTTTACAGGAAAAACAATATTCACAAATGAGTATGAGTTTGAACTGTCTGTCTATCTGTGCACCACAGCAGTACAGCGATTTGAGAAAATGCACACAGCCTTCAAGACAGCCAACGATCCTCTGACTTATCTGGAGAGTAAGAGGGATCAGTATCTCGACTCTTTTAAGAGCTTCTGTAAAGGAGCCTCATCTGTCACATTCTTTGTAGATTTTCTGTGCAAAATCCTTAAACCAGCGATCCAGCAGGCAGCATGTGGTAAGACCTGTATCCAGATCACAGATGAAATTAAATCTAACTGCTCTGCTTTCAGTGGTAACCGATCCAACCTGGAGAACCACATTCTGAGACACCTCGCTGAGCAGGAGGACTTTGACTCCTATATGGAATATATTAACCATCCAAAGGATTATTTTGCGAGGTTTATAAGGGAGTGTGTTGAGAGATACTGTATAAAGAACAGAGATCAACTGAGAAGGATGTTTAATACCAATCTGAGTTACCTAGTGAAGCAGGTTTTTACAGTGAACACTACTGTCACTGCAGCAGTGAGAGACAGACATGGTGGCGCCACCTTGTGGCTGGATGAGTTCTGTGCAGCACTCAGTGATCACATGGTGCTCCCCAGACAGGACTTCAGAAATATTGAAAATGAAGACATCACAGACCTGCAGTTCCTCAGAGAAACGATGGCCAGATCACTTGATGAGCTACTGAAAAGTCTTCAGAAAGAAAGCAGCAGCAAACCTGACCTTGACTTAAAGATGTTCAGACGCAGACCTGATGAGATTCTGTGTGAGGCGCTCAGTGGCTGTTGGGAACAGTGTCCCTTCTGTAAAGCCATCTGCACAAACACCATCCCTGGTCATAACTCTGATCACAGTGTCCAGTTTCATCGTCCTTCTGCTCTGGCTGGCTGGCATTTCTGTGGGACAGATATATTTTATGTTGATATTTGTACCACCTCAGTCAGCAGTGACAAGAGTTTCTATCCTACTCGGAAATCTACTGAAACTGTTCCCTATAAGACCTACAGAGAAGCAGGTGAACCTTACAGCAGGTGGAGCACCACCCCAGATAACAGCGAGCAATCCTACTGGAAATGGTTCATCTGTACTTTCACGTCACAGCTGGAGGAGAAATTCAAGCGTAAATTTGAAGGTTATGGTGAAATTCCCAATGAGTGGAAAACAATTGAAAAGAGCTCTGCACTGAATGAGCTGATGTAACTTTACAAATGAAAAAGAAAAAAGTACCATTAAAACAAATTTTAAAGATGAACTTTTAATATTAATGTCTTTTTGTATAAACTGACACCTGCAATGGTGTAAAATGAAGTGATATCAAACAAACAGTCCTACTGGAAATGGTTCATCTGTACTTTTAGGATAAAGATCGAGTGGGAATCTGGACTGAAATTAAAAGATCTGAGTAGATTCCCTGAAGACTGGGACAGAAGCACAAAGAAGGCAATCCTGAGAGATGAGCAGCAAACCCACATCAGTGTAAATATTTAGGTATTCAGGGACACCGATGTTCAACCTGATTCAGTGGGATTATGAATCAATCCTTTCAGGAGCTCACCTACGGATCAAGTCAGTCTTACAGGTCCTCATATCATATCATCATGCTCATCTGTAACAAATCTGGTTATTAATGAACAGATTAGAAGCTCTCTGGGTAAGATATGGTAACATATGGCCTTCAGATTGATTTAGGATTGAGGTTCCAAAAAGAGAACTGTCTCCCAGTAAAATTATTTTAGTACTATAATGTCACAGAAAGCTCTCACTCAACAGACATTTAGACACTGAACAGTTAATGAGTAACTGCAGATTTCTGCAACTATTGTGTTTTATTTTAACCTGAAATTGGTTTCATCTTTAAACTTTATTCTGACATTTGTTTTGCTGTTTGTGAAAAGTCATTCAGAGTTTGGCTGAGGAATTTCATGCTGTATTTTGAAGCTGTGGGTGTGTGTCTATGTCCACAGGAAATCTCGGCATCTGCTCTGGTACTACATCAGGGGTCGGGTTCTCTGTGTAGGTAAATTCTTATGTTTACTGTGCTGATACATTCTTAAATCCTCTGGTGTGTGATTAATGGAAACAGATTAAAATAGGAAAAAAATAAGATATCGCAATAGAAACACAATACATTGAAATTGGTGACAAACTTTTCTTCTGCTCCTATACTGACAAATAGGATACTTACTGCTTCTAACTAAAATATCTAATAAAGGAAATCACAATCAAATGTGACAAACTGTATATTTTAACAAGCATAAATAACGTACTGACATTTCACTTGTGTTGTTTTCTTCATTTGGAAATTGTTGTTAGACAAAATAACACCAATTTAACCTGCCAGTACAGCTCCCTCCTGTTTTACAATCAGCGATTCTGCAGTGTGAGAGAAGAAATTAAATACTTTCTTCACTTTCACTCAAATGACACTACAGGTCCAGACCACTGAAACCCCCAAATTATTAGGATCCCTACTTAAAGATCTTAAAGTGTTCTGACAAAGACTGAAATGAAATAAACTAACATGCACCATACAACTTCAACACCTCAATAGTTCTGTTTTTATCAGCTGACATAGTAGTGAGCACAGAGCGGTAAACTGTAACTGCTCTACAGAGGGCAGAAATACACACAATATTAAGTCTTGTTTTCAGCCTTTTATACCTGATACCCCTTAGTGGCAGGGTAGTGCAGTGGTTAACATCACTGCCTGACTTCAGTTCCTGGGGGATTATCTGTGTCGAGTTTGCATGTTTTGTGTTTACTGGGGTTTCCTCCTACAGTCCCAGTCTCTTGCTGGTGGGTTCATTGGCTTACGGGAAATACCTACATAGTGCAGATGAGTTTCTTGTTGTCTTGTACAGAGGGCATCTTGTTACTGAGGTCAGGGAAAGATCACCACTGTGAGAATATGGTGAATTTTTTTCCCAGCTGTCTCGCAAAACCGCAGAAATTAAAGTGAAACTAATGATCAATAATCATTTCGTATAATAGGAACCTTCCCTGGCATATTTATATTTGTGTTCACATGGGTGTTCACACCTAAGATCGCCTCCGGAGCCAGTTGAGCCCAGCCTCGCATAACCTGTAATTTCAGCCGTATGTGTTACAATATATATTTTAATTAAACTGTTACATTTCTTCAATTCCACTGGTCAAGAAACAAAGTCTCCAGTCACTTACCGTACACCTAACTCCAACTCACAAACTCTGTCAGCAACGCAGCTGGCCAGCTTGTTCCCCACCCCCACCACCCTTTGTGTAAAGTAGAGCATCCTGACCTGGCTGGCTGTGGAGCCTTCTTCACTTCTGCACAGGGAATTAATCTGTATTAGAGTGTTAACCTGTTTTCATCAGCGTTATTAACTGGAATTCTGGGATTAGATATATTTTGGGAAGAATGTTTGTCTAGTCCCAAAGTTTTTCTGGGATGGCAGTAAAGTGTAGCAGGAAGTGCACCTCTCTGGACAGCCGGGTCTGCCTGTGTCCAGTATCTATGTCCAGGCTGTGGTCACTGAGCCTGTCCTCTCTGGACAGCCAGGTCTGCCTCTGTCCAGTGTTTGCTGTGGCCAGGCTGTGGTCACTGAGCCTGTCCTCTCTGGACAGCCAGGTCTGCTTGTGTCCGGTTTCTACGTCTAGGCTGTGGTCAATGGGCCTGAGCCCTGACCCGGAAGCAACTCTTTTCACACTTTCCGACAGCGGGCAGCCAGCTGAGTCCTGAAAGCTCAGTGACTGCGTCTCAGACCAAGAAGGGAAGTAAAACAGGAGGCAAAAACGACATGTTTTGGAAGAAATCAAGAGGATGGGAGAAACGGCTGTTTTTTTTTTCACCCCTGGGCATGAATTTGTGGTGAAGGGAGACCAGCACAGCTGCATCCCCGATAGTGAGCCCCACAGTAGCTCCTCCCCTGCAGTCTGGCCCTGCAGCTCTCCGAATGCTAACAAACACTTTATCAGATGCCTCCCCTCCCCAGGGCACGGGCTCACACACGTCAGGAGAGCCAGACAGGGATAACAGCTGGAGTCTGGAAGTGGCTGTTTAAGAGCTGACTGACTGGCGAGACCTGGGGAGACCTAAGAGATCATTCCACAGGCTTGGGGCAACAGAGCAGAATGTCTCCCAGTGCCTCTCCGTGTCTCCCACTGTCTCTCCGATTCTCCCAGTGCCTCCCACTGTCTCCCGGAGTCTCCCAGTGCCTCTCCTGTCTCCCAGTGTCTCCCACTGCCTCTCTCTCTCAGAGTCTACCAGAGCCTCCCAGTGTCTCTCAGAGTCTCCCAGTGTCTCCCACTACCTCTATCTCAGAGTCCACCAGAGTATAACAGTGTCTCTCAGAGTGTCCTGGAGTGTCTCAGCATTTCCCAGCATCTCTCTGCATCTCTCAGTCTCCCACGGTCTCTTGGGGTCTCCCAGTGTCTCCCAGGGTATCTCAGTGTCTCTCAGGGTGTCTCAGTGTCTCTCAGCATCTCGCAGTGTCTCTCAGGGTCTCCCAGGGTATCTCAGTGTCTCTCGGGGTCTCTCGGCATCTCCCAGCATCTCTCGGCGTCTCCGAGCATATCTCAGTGTCTCCCAGCATCTCCAAGTGTCTCTCGGCATCTCCCAGGGTATCTCAGTGTCTCTCGGCATCTCCCAGGGTATCTCAGTGTCTCTCAGCGTCTACCAGTGTTTCTTGGGGTCTCCCAGTGTCTCTCGGCGTCTCCCAGGGTATCTCTTTGTCTCTCAACATCTCCTAGTGTCTATCAGTGTCTCTCGGGGTCTTCCAGTGTCTCTTGGCGTCTCCCAGTGTTTGTGGCAGTCTCCCTGAAAGTGAACGCAAGCCAGAGTCTGAAGACAGCAGTCACTCAAACAGCCGCCCAGAGTCTCAACAGGAGTCATGCTGAAAGGAGAGCAGTAGGGTTTTCAGTCTTGTTCTGAAAGCCGCAGGGCAGCCAGTGCAGGGGAGCTGTCACAGAGGTGATGTCCATCCACGCCTCCTAGTTCTGGTTGAAACCCAAGCTGCCTAACGCTGACCGCGCTGCGCCTAGGAAAAGACAGGGGCTCCAGTTTGTCTGTCTGAGTGAAGGGGCCCGGTGTCTCCATTTTTGGTTGCAGAAATATTGTTTAATTGCATCAGCGTTGGAGTTCTTGCTCTCACAGAGGTTAGGGTGCAAGGTTAGGGTGCTGGAAACATGCGGCTGTAGGCCCCGTGAGTCGGGGTTACCTGAGGTTTGTGAGACAGGAGGACATGACCTGCTCGTTAAAGCTTTAAGGCCATCTTGGTTCTGTCCGCCTACCCTGATGTAGCTGTGCGTTGCGGGCAGCGCAGGTCTGTGGCGGTTCGAGCTGTGGCCTCACGCCTCCCCTGGTTCAAGGACCAGCAAGAGGGTGGAGAACATTCTGTGTTCTCCCTGCATTTTCTCCAGGTGCTCCAGCCTTCCAAGTTATAACAATAAACGTGATCTTATATAGCACCTTTAAAGCGCTGTACAGAACAACAACACTTTGGAAGGTTAGAATGCCTTTAGGGTGATTGACTGGTTTTACAGAATTCCAGTGAGAGATAGGAAGGGCTCCCCTTTCCTCATTAGTCAGTCTCTGTGGTGCAATTGGTTAGCGCATTTGGCTTTTAACTGAAAGGTTGGTGGTTCGAGCCCACCCAGGGACAGATTTTTTTTTTCTGCGATATAAACATGGTCTCCGCAAAGGTTGATTGGATTTCTTAGCGAAACCTGAGAATTTTTAGGGCAGAGCGGTGGCTCTGTGGCTTCGGAAAAAAAACTACCAAAACTACTGCTGATGTTCACAGGAGAGCTGGGGAGAGGCGCACTCTGAGGTCTCTTTCACTCTGAGCAGCAGCTGCTGTATTTAGATGTCAGGCAGTGGAAAATTGACTTCAAAACCGCATCCTGACACCGGAAACAACTGGGGAAGTGCAAATGGGGAAGTTTCTGCAAGCCCAGTGAGCAGTGAATTCAAAAAAAGGTGTGTTTCAGTTTCATTTGATACCAAGCGATCATGTAAAACAGGTTCAGCTGTGTTTTCGGAGGCTTCTCCTGTGGAAAGTCTTTCCTTTTTGATTTTTTTGTTTCTGCAAGGCACCAGGAGGTCACAGCTTGAATCTGGAACAGGCTCCCCAGCCCTGTTGTTGAAGTCGATACCCTGGCTTCTCTCCAGACACAGCTGGGTGAGCTCCTCCAGTCAGGACAGGAGGCTCTACTCTACACAGAGAGCGGTGGGAGTATGGAACAAGCTGCCCAGCCCTGTTGTTAAAGTCGATACCCTGGCTTCTCTCCAGACACAGCTGGGTGAGCTCCTCCAGTTAGGACAGGAGGCTCTACTGTACACAGAGAGGGGTGGAAGGAGGGAACAAGCTGCCCAGCCCCAGCCCTGTTGTTGAAACCGATACCCTGGCTTCTCTCTAGACACAGCTAGGTGAGCTCCTCCAGTCAGGACAGCTTTCTGTCTGATACATGCTGCTAAGACTAGACAAACAAGTATTGTCACAGCTACAGGGCAAGAATTTCCATTATAACTGCGTTTAGTTTTGCACGAAAGTGATCTCTTAGCAGTGTTGGGAACCTTGATGGCAGAAAACAAAGTGATATATAAGGAATAAAATCGGTGTGCAGGTTTTTGCCTGTCCTGCTGATTCTGTGTTTGCTGTTGGAAAAACAAGAAGCTCTTCTTTACACAAAGGGTGGTGGGGGTGTGGAACAAAGCTGAGAGTTTTAAAAAACAATAGTTTTGTTAGTCAAGCCGCAATAATCTGGTGTAGCGGAATTGTAGATTCGAGAAAAAAGGCACAAAAAGGCAGTGTCTGGTTCTCTCACTTTCAAACGGTACTTTGTGTAGAGACAAGGTGTGTGTATACGTGGATGTCATTCTGTAAAATATGCTCCGAGAAACTTGTTTTTATATCCACCAGTCTCGTTTTTTTTCTTTTTTTGTATGTCATTTCGACCGGCTTACAGGTCACGGTAAAATATGTTTTTTATTAAAGCAATCAATAAATACGCCCGATAAGGACTATAAGGTTTTTTTTTTCTTTTAAAAAAACAACAGAATAAAATAAGGATGTCTTCGGAAACAGAACTGAACTCCCATCAGCTGGGATAACAACACGGCTGAGCGGCTTTTTCCCCAGCCCCACCACCCTCTGGGTGAAGAAGAGCCTCCTGTCCTCCATATTAAATGTTCTTGCAGTATTAAATGTTCCTTGTTCCACTTGTGTCTTCTGTTCGGCTTCACCTGTTTGATCCCTTTGATCAAGTCGTCTGTCGGCCTGACAGACCGGACGTGATTTCGCCCGGATCTAAACCGCAGGGACCACTTCGAGCTGCTTTAGGGATTCACCGTGAGCAAACTGAAGCAGGTGCAGATCTTGACCACTGGGCTGCCTGCAGGTTCACAGCCACCTCTCCTCCCTCGCCTGCGTCTATAAATAAGCGCGCCACCCTGCTGCCTCCGAGCTCATAGCCGTGTTGAAACCAGAGGTCAGGGCCGCGTGGTTTTGACACATGTGGAGCACCTCACGCGGACTTTCCTGCATTTTCCGCTCACCCAAGCGTTCCTGGGATCCAGCTAAAAACAACACCTAAGTGCACATGCAGATTAAAAATTCCGTGGAGAAATCTAATCAGTAACTCGCTGAGGAGCGATAGGCTTTTGTTGGTGTGATTTGGATTATTCTCTCGCCCGGTGATTATACGGGTTTTGTACATCAAGGCTGCGTACCTTAAGGTTGACTTTAAATACCCTTGTTTTCAAAGTACAATTCATATCTCGAGCATTGAACTTGTCTTTTTACTGTTTCTTTAGGGATATCGCTATTAAATAACGTATTTCCCCACCAATTGTTTTCCAAAACGTGCGATTTAATTGTGATTAAAAAAAAACCATAAACCTACAGAACCGGAGCTCCCTTAGGGCCGGACTGTTATTGACAGCAAGAGCAAGGTCACACGTCCTGTCTGAACTGAGCTCCGCTTCATCTAGCAGAGCTGTGTGTTTGAACAGAAACAGCGCGGAAACACACGACCTGAGGAGACGGACCTCGCTCAACGCGTTTGGAGATTTTACGTTATATAATGGAGATCTTCGCGTTCTGTCCGTTTTAAATGTATGAAGGAGAGGTCATACGGATACCGCCCAGCGAAACGCGAATTGGAGCCCGTCGTGGTAAAAAACAAACGAGTTATTATAGGCTGTAGTATTCCCAAACAGACCACGACTGGTCGTGCAGCTTGTTCCCGGCAGAATGTGAGGTCTGTCGCTCTGTGCGACATCGTCCCCCAGTTCCTGCAACAGAGAGGCGCTCTGCAGCCCAGTAAGAGGACCTTCCGCATCCTAAAAACCTACCCGTTGGATTCTGATTGACGGTCATAAACCATGAAACTCCGTGCGGGCCAACCAGTACGCCGCCATTCCAGGGGAAAGCTCAAAGCGAGTCCGTGTCCGATTGGCGAGCACGTTTCTGCCCACGGCCCTGGAATAGGAAGTGTGGAAGTGGGTTACATTTGCTTCGTAATTGGAAGATTTCTCCAATCCACCTCCCCCCAAGGCAATAAAGAGAGACTTAAAGGTAGAATCGCCTTGTGGTTTTTTTTTTTAATGATTTTTAGTCCTGTTGATCGTAACTTCTATTGGACCTTAGTTTTGGTCCTATAAAACATGCACTTCAGGCTGGGCTCTTGATAAAACTGCAGCAGACGGTCGCGGTGCGTTGACATACTCTTCCAGGATGGATGTTGAAGGGCAGGAGCTGAAGACTATCGGCAGATCTGCTACTGTATTACAGCTGTATTACCTCCGAGTCCGGTTTGTTGTTAATCTCTTAGATCAAGAAAACTTTGTTGGGTATTTATTTTCATTAATAACAGGAAGTTGGTGTCCAAACCATCAACATTTGCTCACCAATAACCTCCAAGGTCAAAGTTACCGAGTTTAAAATGGGTTCAGAAGAGCTTGACGATGTTTAACAGATACAGTACATGTACACATAATAGATATAGCTTACTTTTTATTGTTGTTCCTTTTACCAAAAACACCCTTAGGGTCATATCTAAATACACTTTTAGGAAAAACATTTTAAAAAGCAAATAAATCCCTCCGTCAGGTCATTAAGCCCTTTGAGAAGGAGTTAACTGGTTTATTTTTAACTGAAGCCAGTGTCAGTGAGAGGCACAGATGAGGCTCTGTCTTTCCTGTGTGCCGTCGGCCAGAGTCTAGTAAGCTTGTTGTCCTGGTTTGTGCTTCGCTCTGCTCTGAGCTCGAACGCCTACAGTTTCCCTGCGGTCAGTGTGAGCCCTGCCTGAGCACAGACACCTCCGAGAGCAGCCAAACTGCACAGCTCCTCTCTCTGTGCTCATAGTTCACACCCCTGAGCTACTGCAGGACCCTGAGTCTGGGGGTCTGTACTCTCTCAGCCACAAGCACTTCCTCCTACTTCAGAGGGACCAGATGAACAGCTCAGTTTGCTGTCACCCATTAGAAACTGCTCTTTCAGTTAGTGATTCTGCAGGTGACTATTCATTAGAAACATTAAACACTTCACATCATTTAGTTCAGGTGGGGTAGCTGCGTCAGCATGCGTAGGTTGCAAAGGAACAAGTAAAGCTTTATTCCTGTGCTCCAGAAAAAAGAGGAAAAACAACGTTTCGGCTGTGGAGCCTTGGCATCTGAAGAAGGCTCCACAGCTGAAAAGTTGTTTTTCTTCTCTTTTCAGCACAGGAATAAACCTTCATCAGGGTTTTGTTTGATGACAGGAATGAAAGTCCTCCAGTTCTGTTGACATCCAGCTGTGTCTTGACAGAAGTCAGGTTATCAGTTTCAGCAACAAGGCTGGCCAGCTTGTTCCACACTCCCACCACACTTTGTGTAAAGCAGCACCTGCTGTAGTCTAAACACAGCCTGCAACCCATCACTTCACAACTGTAGTGTAGACAGCTGTGTTCCCTCACATGGAGTTGTACTCCCTCTCCCCAAGTGCTAATTACTAATTCACACCGGCCGAGTCTCCAGCTCCACTTAGCTGGGAGCCATCTTGGCTCAAGGCCACACTAAAGGGGGAGTGCTTGGAGCCAAGATGGTGTCTTTCTCACACGGCCTCCCCTCACTGCTTCACGGCCACACACTGCAAAGTCTACAAGTTTAAGCAAACATGTTCTGTTTAATAGTTATATGTGTATTAACATAATACAAAAGCAACTCTTGGCAAATTCTTATTTTAATTTAATAATTCTAAAAAAAAAAATGTAACTATGTGATAGTTCTGCCTTTTAATTGCAAGTGTTGTGCACGAGTACAGCGATAGGCACAGTTCCTAAATTTGTCCACCTTACCTGCTGCTTGTGCAAAATCTTAGATTGGTTAAGCATATTTTATCAATACCATGTGTGCACTCAGCAATATTTAACCAAAATATAAAAGAGCTATCTGCAGAAATACTTCCAAATAAGGTCCGATTCAAAGAGTTTAACTCCATTTTTCTTTGGTATTTTTACCTTTTCCAGTAATACTTTCACCAATCCAGGTCATCTGCAGTTGTAAAGTCCTGCAGCTCTTGCCAGCTGTGTGACGTGAGCTGTAGAGCTAGGAGTCTAGATTAAACACGTGGCACAGACATAGTCCAGTATCACACCACTCGACCTTGTTGATGCTCATTGTCTCTCTGGCCTGTCTGGGATCCAGTGTGTCTCCGGTCTCCGGTCTCTTTCCCAGAAGGGAGAATTCCAGAGTCTTTCCAGGAGGCATTTTGAAAACATGGTGCAGAAGCCAGGACGAGGGTCATGGGAGTAACAACCAGACCCTCGTCTTGAGTCAGGAGAACACAGACTGGTCCAGGAGTTACAGAGCTGAGTTCAGGACACGGACACACTTTACTGTAACTGTCTTGTCCTGATGCGTCCCGGGACAGCGATGAAGTCTGAAGTCTCACAGTGGTCCACTTCCTGAAAACAGAGTAAAGATTAACTTAGGGTCCAGTTGTACTTCTGAGCAACAGTCTGGATACTTTTTTTTCTTAAAGCACAAGAAAACAAGAACAGATACAAAAGCCCTTCCAGTCTGTTTGGTAGTCAATGCCTAATGGATCTCATCCAGCTGTGTGTTGAGAGAAGTCACATGGCTGGGCAGCTTGTTCCACACCCCCACCACTCTTTGTATAAACAAGTGCCTTTTAGTTCAACAATTCTTTTAGTTCCTAGCAAGAAAACGATCATGGGAATATGGTCTATTAAGGACCTCCAACACCGGAACAGTAGATCAATGTTGTTAAAGATGTATATAATGGAAAAGATTACGTTTTCTCTTAGGTTACAAGCAGAGAGCATTAGCAAATGCTGGCAAGACTGGATTGGGTTTGTGGCCCAGCTAAGACCTGATTCTGTTCTGTAAATGAGGATGAAACTGTTTTGTCTAGAATGTGGGTTATTTGTTGTGTTTTTGCTGATTGTATTTCTAGTTGTAACCTCCCTCCTATGCTGGCATAATGTAAATAGTTCATTATATAAAAAACAATATAATCAAAAAATGAAAGATGAAAGCTGTAAATTGTTTTACTTTGTATTTGTAAAATTCTTTCATTTTCAAATAAACATTTTAAAAAAAGAAGTAGTCAGAGTATTGGCTTCAACAACATGGCTGGGCAGCTTGTTCCACACCCCCACCACCCTTTGTGTAAAGAAGCGACTCCTGTCCTGATTAGAGGACAGGTAACGAGTATTATCTGCGTGGTTAGTCATTGGAATGATGCCAAATACCTGTACATTCCTCCTGCAGCTCTCTCTCTTTTCTGGGCTGATGCACGTTCCTGCACCTGTTCAGAAGGAGCAGAAACATATCTGATCAGACTGTATTCTGACTATGATGGTACTCCTATAAGAGACGGGAGGAGGTAATTACTGTGCAGGACTTTCACTGTACTGATCTCTGATGTGGGTTTCATACAGACATTCAAGTATCAAGTGTCACTGGAGACAAATCACTGATACCACTGCTATGTTTTGTAATGATATATCAATATATATAGTCAATGTGCTTACCAAACACTTGTCCAGGGTAACATGCAATCTATAACTGAGGTCTACAGCAGGTAAGTGCAGATAATAACCACGCAAGTTCGTCTTTAACCCCGTACAGGAGAGAGCTCACCACAGTCCGAGAGACATGTCTTTAACCCATACAGAAGAAAGCTCACTGCAGTGCTCTGACAGTAGGGGACACTACCTCCCAGGCTCGTGAACTGTCCTGTCCGGTGGAAGAGGCCGAAGACGCAGCCGGACGTTATCAGGACAGAGAGAGGAGGCACCAGCAGCAGAATGATGAAGCACGACTTCTCCAGCTCAAAGGGAGACCGCGCCTGCCGATGGTCATCCTCACACTGTCCACCTGGTGAAAACACAAGTGCGGTTACCACCACACAGGCAGAAGGAGACTTGGAGAACGGGTTGCTCCGAAATGGGATAACTTTGAAACAAAACAGGCTTCCCCACATCTCAGTTGCCGTCTTTAAGAAAGGAAACAATCGATCGTTGGATCTTCTGTCACCAGAGATCTATCCAGATGCTGTTACAGTGAGCAGTACAGTACGGACACAGAGGAGAGGAAAACAGATTCGCTTCCACTAGTGTTCAGGTTTTGATGGAAACACAGGAGAAATGGGCCTCTTGATCTCCGCAAATAAGCACGGGGAGTTTCACAGTTTTAGCTGCTCAAAAGGAGAATTTGTTTTAATTCATTAAATCAATACCCGCCCAGCTTGAGACAGAGCAGTCTGAGAAATGAGCCCTAGTTTGTACTTTTCTATTTTAATTGTCCATCATATTGTTCAGCGCTTTGGGATATTGTACGAAATATTTTACTGTCATTGTTATTGACACTCTTCTCGGATTGGTCCTGTTCATTATGTAGATTACCAATCGGGTGCTAATTAGAAACACTATGGCGTGTTTTGGACGCTTTCAGCTCCCTGAAACTCCGCAGGTCGTCGTGTGTCATTAAAGACAGAAACCGCAGGTGTTTGAGAAAAGTTCTTTCCTGTAGCTGGAGAGAAAGAGCTCCGCCGGCCGACACCCACTATCTCTTATTATTTCGCTATCTGACACCCGACAGCATCTAGAAAAAGGCTCCGTCCTCACCCGCACAGACGAGCCTGGTGCCGGTTCCGACAGCAACCCGGCCCTGCGCTTTCCCCGCGCAGTAGAAGAGCCCCAGGTCTGTTCGCGACACGTTCCGGATCCTCAGGTCGATGGAGCCGGTGGACGAGTTCAGCGCCGGAGAGAAGCAGGAGTCGGACGCGTAGTTGAAGTTGACCGTCTCCGCCTGGCTCTTACTGGCCAGGAGCCCCAGAAACAGTGTCTCGTCACGCTGGACGAACCACATCACCTCGTAGCCGAGCTGCAGGTCGCAGGGCAGGACCACCGTGTCCCCGACTCCGACGGGTCTCACCGCGGCGCCGGTACCGGCTGCCTCCCGCACAGCGGTACCTGGAGAGACGCGGAGAGAAATCTATCCTCTGCAGAGAAAGCGCCTCTTGTGTAGGATTGCACAAGCTATCACGTTACGTGTACAGAACTTCAGCAAAACAACTCTGAATGAAGTGATTTACCTTGACCGTTTAGTAGCCCTCATCGCTTGTGGATACGAGTTCAATAAACAAGTGAGTCAATTAATCAATAATTCTTTCAGTTGAGTCACTGCCAATCATTTTCACCGCGAACTACCTGCAGATCGATATCGGCCAAGATCTTCTATCAACTAATGTGGCCTCTTCGCTAAAGTGCAACAGAGGGATCATTACAAATCAAGAGCACCGTTTTAAAAAGTGGTCGTTCCACCCGTTAATGCTCTTTGATTATAAGAATCTGAAAAAATGGCAGAGGACAGCGAGTATACAAGACGATCACTGTGCTCTTCTTAAAAGAAAAAAAAATCCCAAACCGTCTTTAATGTTCGTAACCGCTGCAAACCCTTTCATCGGTTTTGCGCGTTTTAAGAGCTGTTTATTGTGCAGTCACCTCAGTGTCAGTTTAAGATCTAATTTCAGTATTTTGTTTGAGAAATGCCTGCTCCCTGGGTCGGTAGCCGGGACATGAGCGCCACGAGAAGAAATGTCGAGATTTTAAAGCTTTCGAGTCCCGATACCGGCCTCTCTAGTTGACGGCGGAAACGGGCGTCAACTCCGCTTTGTAAAGTTACACTTTGTCAGGCAAGGAAACGTTTAACGGCGCCCCTCCGCTAAGGTGAGACTGAAATGCGTGTATTCGACACACGAAGGCGTACTCACAGATGAAGAAGAGCAGATGAACTGTACCGTGTAGCCCGTTCATCTCAGCCGCTGTTGAGCCAGACTGACGAGGCGCTGGACTCCGGCGGGACTTCACGTCCGGTCACTGGCCAAGAGACTTCACCGCTGCTCTATGATGCCGCAGCTGACCCGCTGTGAGGTGTGGGCGTTTCTAAACTCAGTTCTGTCGTAATTTAAATAAGACCCCGGAGGGGGGGGGGGGGCTGGGGCCCTCCTGGATTCAATTCAGGACTGGGCGTGCTGTCTGTGTGGAGTTTGCATGTTCTCCTTGAGTTTGTGTCGGCTTCTTCTGGGTGCTCTGCTTTCCTCCCACAGTCGAAAGACATGCAGATGGGGGTAAATGGCTTCTGGGCAAACTGGCCCTGGTGTATGCGTTTCCTGTGATTGGAATGACTTCACCATTGGGTAGCACTGGTATAAAACTGGCTTGAGAAAGAGATGCAGAACAGATCCCAGCCTGGGTCCATTTTTAATGGTGAGATTTCCTTTAACATGGGGGAGGGGGTCTTAGACTCACTCCCTGGATGGCTGGAGTCAGTTACACAATTCAACTATTTATTTAATCAGACAGACTTCGGTACCCCTACAGTCACTTTCCTGAGGGGCACAACTACTGAAAAAGGGGCCTTTAAGCCCATTTTACATTATAATTAAACAGTTAATTAAATAATTAGACCAGCTGTGTGACCGAGAGCTCAACTGGGACAAAACCAGGAAGACACACCAGGAACTGAGAATGATGCCCCCGTATTAACACAGATTTCCCAACCCCCCCCCACACACACACACACAAACAACACCTGCTTGTCATCTCCAGGGCTGACTGATGACTTTTAATAAGCTAATTGTAGGCAGGTTACTATCACTGTCATTCTTAAAAACAGGCAGCTTACTTTTCTTTACAAAAGTAAATTGCCCTGGTGCAAATCTGAATATAATTGGTCACTCAGGCCGCTATTGGTTGCAGAAACATAACAGAATGGTAAGTTAGCGTTGCCTCTCTGGAAATCCCATTGTATAGGCAAGAGTGCCACCTGTCGGTTCTGTGCTCCAGCACCACTTACAGCAGAGACCTATAGAAGTGTAAGGAATTATTATCATGAATTCAAAATGCAGCTTCATTTACAGTAAGTTTATGGGGGCATATTAATAAAATAACAGAAGCACACGCTCTGAAAAAAAAAGGATAGCAGCCCAAACATAGACTGCCGGGAACTAATTCTGATTTTGTTTTTTCGGTTATCGATAATGACGGGGCCACTCGGATGAGATGCTTCTGAAAAGCACCGCGTCTAGTTTTAGACCCCACCGCACCCCGCGGACAGATCCCGGCTGTAGGGAGATCTAGTGTCCGATCCTGCTTAACGAGGTAAACGGGAAAACCCGGATTTGTTGTAGAAGCGACGGTCCTGGAGGTTTTCCGTCTTCCTCCAGGAAAGAGCCGATTATATTTTCCCGACGCGACTGGAGACATTACAGATTGCAGACCACGGTTGGTGTTGTCCTGGCGTCTCTTGTAGGGTCTTTAGCAATAATCAGCGAAACAAAAAGGCTAGTCAAATTGAAAAGGCACGCCACCTTCCCATAAACTCACCCTTGTAGTAAATTATGCAACATGAAGGCGTTTTTTTAAAATCATTTCCCTACTCGGTGGCAATTTCACATTCACCGCTGAAGCAACAGGCCCAAAATAACATGATCCAGGAGTCAAGTTTAATTCGTACGAGCTTCATCCCATGCTCACACTTTCAAGTCAAAATGGCTGCATTTTCAAAAAAATCCCACCAGGCGGCGCCCTGTTCAATCGCTGCCGTTTACAGGCGCAGCAAGGAGACATTTAACCCTCTGACGAGTTAACAGTTGTGCGCGTACAATGCCAGCAGGTGAATGGATTTTATTTACCCTCCTAACCTGCTAAGCACACTATATTTCCCCCATGGTCCACCCGCCCTACCGCCCTGTCCATCCCAGAGGAGGGACCCACCTTGACGTTTCTCACCCCGAGCGATTGGAACGCTAATTTCACTCCTTTACGCGGATCTAACGCCCGTGAGCAAGGACGGCTTACGAACGGCAGGACACGCGTAAATCCCTCGTCTGGATCGGACTCAATTCTCTAAACGAAATCAAGCTTTTTTATTTTACACTTTCAAGGAGTTCAAGTGATCTAAAACGTTAATTAGTCCTCCTCCAAGTGCAGTTCATAACAGGGCCCCACCAGTGCGCGCCAGATGAACAAATTAAGAAGACCGGTAGCACTAGTTTTCCCAGTTATTTCTCATTGCTAAAAAAAACCCACTTCCAGATGCAATACGGACACTCGTTAATAGAGGAGCCATTTAATATGAATTTTTTTTAATACGTTTTTATTTAAACACCAAAAACACAAAAAGAGACACATATGACAGAATGCAATATATCTCCGTAATCACAATGTAACAAATCGTTGACAGACCTGCTAGTCTGAAGACCGGTGTCTTTTTTAATGCTGCCGAGATAGTGATCAGTTTCACCATGTTTAGAGTTTTGTAAACTGTTCTCCCTTTTGAAAAATGTAATTACTTGCAGGGCCAGCCTGAGCTTTCTAGAGCCTCTAGGCAAGGTCTTGAAAGACTGCTATTGTCAGTTCCCAACACAGCCTTATTGTTCTATTAAGTTAAATGGCTACACTTGTACTAAAATGCAACATGACCATTAATATGACCACCATCACAACCCAGATCTACAGTGTACCCAGTAGTAAAATCAAAATGTGATAAAAAAAAAAACAATTGTCACAAGAAGACTTCATCCTGTCCTGAAGATCCAGTCCTTCCAAAACTTCACAGATTAGAGCCTGATTCACTTCATCGACAACTTCCTAGTCAGGAAGACCACAATACAATCACTGCTTCTCTTTCAGGATAATACATAATCTAAAATTTAATTCTTTTTGGATTCCATCACAACAGGATAAAGTTTGACAGTGCAAAAAAAGTAAGAAAAAAAGCAGCTTATATATTTGGCTGAAAAAATAAGGCGTTTGTAGGCTGATGTCAGTCTGTAAGAACACTACAGGAGAGAGTCACTTACAGCTCACAGCAATGAGACTCCTCTCCCCATAACCTCTGAACCCAGTGCAGACCCTGCAGTGGACAGAGTCCCCAATCCATCTGTCTGTACCTTCCCTCAGCTCCCCAGTGACCCCCAACATACTGCACTGACTCTC